ATGACATCAAACCAGAGCCGAGGGCCAAGGGATTCCTGAACTTTGTGATAACCGCACGCAGATCGGCAAGAGGGACCAATCTGGGAGCCCAAAAGAACAAACCGTATTTCAATCTTGGATGTCAGGGAAGACTTCACAGAAAAGTTGGCACTGGACATGGACTTGAAAGATGAGTAGGCCTTTGCCAGGCACAAGGAAAATAAAGGCATTCTAGGGAAAGACAGTGTCAGTGAGACACCTAAAAAGCCTATTCCCTGCTGACGTGCACAGAAGGGACTGAACTGGTGGTGAGGTGGTGGGATCTGAAATGTCGGGGTTGGTTCACACGGCTGGTCTTTAAGTGCCAAGAGGAGTCCAGTTCTCACTGCTCAGGGGGAGGGTTCCTTGCAGATCTCTCTTCCTCTTGGGGAGGAAGTTGGAGTCAGCGGACTCAGGAGAAGCCCTGTGCACCTGCAGACTCCTGGCATTTCACAGATCAAAAGCACTCACGTGGGGTGCTGAGGCCACAGAGGCCTCACAGTGTTGCAGTCCCGGAGGTAGGGCTGGTGTCTTAGTCACTTTTCAGCTGGGACAAAGTACCTGAGAGCCAGAGTACCACAGTTCAAGGGAGACAAAGAGACTTTGTCACAGAGAGACAAAGTACCACAGTTCAAGGGAGAGGTTCATTTGGGCTCACAGTCTGCAGAACTTTCATTCCCTGAATGGCCGGCTGGCTCCAAGGCAGCATGTTATGGTAAAGGGGCATAGAAAAAGAAAAGCTGCTTAAATCATGCAGGCTGGGAAGCAGTAAAAAAGAGGAGCCAGAAGAGAGATACAACCTTCTGGGTCACCTCCTCAGTGATCCCCCTTTTTGGACCAGGCCCCACCTTCTAACAGCAAGCCAGGGATGAGCCTCATAAACTAACCACCTGCCAAAAGCCCTATCTACGGGTGTCTGGGACTCTTGGGGTCATCTAGATGTAAACTGTAACACTGGGATTTATTTTACCCAGCATACTGGTGAGGAAAGGGTAGTTAGTTCACGAAACTGGCAGAAGCAAGAGTTGAACATAGAACTGATCTGAAAGCCTGTTTTTCCTCTATACTATGTTACACAGCAACAGAGAGTTCAAATTCTGACCTAGGCACACAAGCTGGATGATTCTGAGAGAATGTTTTCATTATTGACTAATGGCATGGGCAATGCTTATGCTATAACACTGAATGTACAGAAAAGATTGACTGTAAAATCAGATGAGCACTGTGGCACTGATCTTTTTAAAAGTGTAGATGCATTAAAACATATCTAAAGGGAGAACATCAAATTCTTTGGGGTAATTCTTATTTTTATCCTTATACCCTTCAAAAATTCTACTATAAGCCATGTTCGGGGGCTCAAGCCTGTAATCCCAGAAGGTCTGTAAATTCAAACATAGCCTGGGCAATTCTGAGGCATAGTGAGACTTTGTCTCAAAAAATGGGGGCTTTCTGGGGCTGTAGCTCAGTGCAAAGGTCCTGGCTTCAATCCCCAGTGCTGAAAAAAAATATATTACTTTCAAATAAGAATAATAATTCTTTTTTATCGGTACCACGGATCGAACTCACGACCATGTGCTTGCAAGGCAGGCGCTTATGCTGAGCTAAATCCCCAGCCCTAATAAATGTTTTTAATTATACAATTACTCATTATTATGGTAAACTAGCCAAATAGTTTTGAATTTTCCTATGCAGGTTGAAGTACCATTATGTATATATATATTTACTGCCTCCTCACCCAGTACCATTATATGTTTTAAAAAACACAACTGAAGGCATCCACTGTGTATTGTTCTCCATCTTATTTTTTCAATTAACATGTCTTGGTCACCCTTCATATCAGGATCTCCTAGACGTTGCATAGGGTTCCATTTAATAGCTACAATATCACACAGTCTATTTTTAGACATTTAAGATGCCTCCAGGGTTTTCAATATTGTAAGTTACAAATCAGTTATATATTTTCATACATTATACACATTTTGTTATCTATGAAAAGATAACAAAGCTAGCCAGTAGTAGAATTACTGGGTAAAAGGACTCCATATTTACAGAGTTAATAGATTTTTTTTTTTCCCCCATCGGTACCGGGGATCGAACTCATGACTGCCTGCTTGCAAGGTAGGCACCTATGCCACTGAGCTAAACCCTCAGCCCTCAGAGTTAATAGATTTGCCAAAGCGCCCTCACCTTCACTAATTGTGGTTTTAATTTTTTAAAAAATTTTGTCCATCTGGTATGTGTAAAAAGATACTTTTATAAAATACTTATTTTTAAAAGGTCTACTGTTGACCAATGCAAGCATGTATATCTCAACAATCTCAAATATATCAAATGATTATGTAATTCTTTTAGCCAAGGTTATGTAATTTAGGGTTGTAATATTTTCCTGCTGGTGTCCACTTACAAACAAAGCACTGTTTATTGTTGTCAGTGCATATGCAGTGACGAAAGCATAGCCCTATTTATAGCAAGTAGGACAGGAGAGCTGTCTTATGACACATCGTTACTGTAGTTCGCGGCACAAGGCAGTAGCTGAAATTTTCATTCCTGTGATTGAGTGACCAGAAAGAATGCACTGCAGTAAAAAGTTTAGTTTCAAATAAGAAGATTCTCGGCAGGGGCAAGTCTCAGGGCTGGGCAGAGGCCTAAATGATCATCCATAGGCCGGTCACGGCAGGAGCAGAGCTGGGCCTGGGGCACAGCTGAGCTGTTTCACAGTACTGGGGTGGGGCCTCCTGGGGAAAGAGACCCCTCCAAGTTCATCGTGCTCTAGGCTTTGTAGTGCATAGAGTTTGCAGGCTTTTCCTAGCTACTGAGTGGGTTGGTTTGCTTACTTGCTTATTTCAGATATTACTGCACTGGCCATATATCCACTGAAGGAACACATTTTATTTATTTACTTATTTTGAGACAATGTCTTGCTACGTAGCTCAGGCTCGCCTTGCTATGTAGCCCAGGTTGACCTCAATTTTGTGGTGATTCTCCTGTCTCAGCCTCCTGAGTGCTGGGAGTACAGGCGTGCACACTGCCCCCCCCCTCAAGAAGGGACAGAATTTAAATCTTCATGCTAACAGGAAAACATTTGTAAAATGACTGCATTGCCTCAATTGATGCCAAGAAATAACTCAAATGAATTCAATAGCTATTCCTTAGGAAAGATCCTAAATATCTGAATAAAGAGAATTTCTGTATTAAAGATGCTTTCTTAAAAAAACCAAAACTGAGAACGAATACTGTGTAAAGTGGAAAATCTCCTCAAAGCAGAAACAAAGCCTGGTGTCCCTGCCATTCCTGTGAGTGGGACATCGAAAGGCTGACAAGTACTTGGAGACAGGCAAGAAATGGAGGCAGCGACACAGGAAAGCAAAGCAGCACCTCTGGAGGTGATGTTATCATTTAATTATTAATAATTATTGTTATTTATAAAACTCAAGAGATGAGAGGTGATGAGGAATTATGCGGTATGGGGAAAGCCACAAAATGTGGTATTATTTTTTCTACTGGAGCTTCACCTAGGAAAAAGAGATTTTATTCTAAAGAGTAATAAAAAATATAAATTAAACAAATTCTTGAGTAGTTACTCAACTTGGAATAAAAAGCACTTCTGGCCAGGCGTGGTGTCAGATGACAGTCACCCCAGCTACTCAGAAGGCTGAGGCAGGAAGATCAAAGTTTTGTGGTAGCTTGGGCAATTTAGTGAGGCTCTATCTCAAAAAGAAGAAAGAAGGAAAGAGAAAGAAGCCCCTGGGGATGTAATTCAGTGTCCCTCTAGTCCACCCCCAGTACCCAAAACCAAGCAAAACCCTAACATCTTAGTTAAAGAAATGTAAACTACCACAGTGGGAAAAACAAAGAGGTATTTAACGTGGGAAAATCCACTCTGCTTTTGTTTATGAAGAGAATACAGGGAGATAATGCGTCTTAAATTAGTATGTGTTCCTGTGAATTAAAGTTCTACTAAAATCATTTGTATAGCTTGATGGATAATGTGAAATTTATGCCCAAGAAAGAGTGATCAAAAATAACATTTCTAAAGAAGTTAACAATACAGCTTGTTAGAGTTCAAACATGCAGTAACTAAATCCTCCTGAAAACCGCATGGTATTGACTTCAAAACAGGAGGGGGAATCACCGATTGAATGAAACGTGTATCTCACACAGAGATCCAACTGGTTTAGTGGAAAATGTACCGGGGAGTGGAGGTGGGAACACAAACAGCGTAACAACAGAAAAAGAGAAACATTGTCAGAAAAGCTATATATAAATATATATTATAACTGAGTGTGAATTGTTGAGAAATGGGTTTGTCCTGCGTGGGTGGTGATTCTGTGTGGGTTTCAGGCCGCGGCTGCTGCTGTGGCGGGAACTCCCCCTCTCCTCCCTCAGGGAAGGCACCAGCCTCTGAGTTCCTTTGCTCCTGGCTCCTGATGGACACATTTTGTGCTTTGGGATGAAATTTTTGTTTGAAAGCTCTGGTTCCAGGCAGAAAAAGCTGCATGGATGTGGGATTCAGGCCCTGAGGTGTCTAGAGCAAGGGTAGGCTTGATCCTAGGAGAAAGTGCGTGGTTGGTTCTCTGGTTTGAAGGTTCCCAAAGAAGGGGAAGAGACAGCACCCACAAGGTGGTGGGTCCTCGAGTAAGGTGGGGGTGGCTGGGTGGGTGTTGCCAAAGCTGGAGATAAGAACTGAGCACTGTGGTGTACATTGCGATCCCAGCATTCAGAAGGCTGAAGCAGGACGATCACTCTGAGTTTGAGGCCACCCTGATCAATATAGTGAATCTGAGGTCCACCTGCACCTACAGAATGAGATGCAGTCTCAACAAAAGCAATAAAATGGGAGATAAGTTCTTCAGCTTGGGACAGTTGCCACACTGCTGATTGTCTAGGAGGGCCTCAGGAGTTCCAGACAGGCTGGAGCAAGGTGCCTCTTCTGTGGTAGCCAGATGGGTTAATGACAGAGGCCTCTTTCTGAATCCTCCTAGACAGAGCAGTGAGCCCTGAGGGCCTGGATCCACCTGTGGAAGGGAAGGCGACTCCCCAGATGATTGGTCCTGGCTTCCTGGGGTGGATCATGGACATGAACCCAACCAGCCAGAATACAGTTCATCAAATCAAATGGCATGAAGACGGTCATCAGTCAAAGCCAGGTGGTGGCGTGTGCCTGTAATCCCAGCACTCAGGAGGCTGAGACAAGGAGGATCACTGCAAGTTCAAGGCCAGCCTGGACTACGAAGTGAGTTCAAGCCCAGCCTGAACTGCATAGTGAAACCTTGTCTAAAAAAGACAAGGAAAAAAATATCCTCTGTCAGGTCCAGTTTTGAAGAAATTTTTAAAAGAAAGAAGCTCTGAGAAGTGATCTAAATAAGGCCAGAAAAATAACATACTTCAGAAGACATCTTAGATTGGACCAAATACCATAATAAAGACCTAAAAACCTTCTCTGAGAAAAAAAGTAATATTAAGAATAAAGTGAAAAGGCTGAAATTGGTGGTCCATGGTAGTCCCCCGGCCGTGGGGGGCTAAGGCAGGAGGACTCTGAGTTTGAGGCCAGCCTGGGCAACTCAGCGAGACCCTGATTCAAAATAACAAAAAGAGAAAGAATAACATTTTATTTCCTGTGCCTCGGGCACAGTGGAACACTTTATACCTATTATACACATTATATGCTTCAACAAATCCAGATGGTCAACGAACTGCTAAACAACCACAAGTTATTTTTGAAAACTAGAAAACAAGCTATTGTTTATCTCACTGGTTAAAGAAAAATTAATTTCTAGGTATCAAACAAATGAATAAATAGAAAACAGAGACGATTAGATAGAGGGATGGTAAAAATGCACTTAGAAAGATGCAATTACATTGCCCCCAAACATCCTGGATTCATTCTAACTTGGGATTGATCATAATAAATCCAAAAATAATCATTAGCCAAAGATTTTAATTATAGTGATATAAGTCAAGTGATATAATCTGTATTTAAAATTTTTTCTTTATTTTTTGCAATACTGGGGATTGAACCCAGAGTCTTTGCAACAAGCTACACCCCCCCCAGACCTTTTTTATTATTTTATTTTTGAGACAGAGTTTTCTCTAAGTCACTAAATTGCCTGAATTGGGCTAGAACTCAAAATCTCCCTGCTTTGGCTTCCCAGAATACTGGGAGTACAAACAAATGCCACCATGTCTGGCTATAATCTGCATTTTTCACTAAGTGTGACATTGAAATTCATACAGAGTCCAACTTAACAATTTATTCAGTTGATGGGCATCTAACCAGGGGTGGCTTCCTGAAGCCACATGCAGAGGGACCTGGCCCTCCCAACCCACATGACCAGGCCACGCATAGTGTCTTACACCACAAGATGGCTGCCCATGGAGTCTCCATTACACTGTAAATCCAAGGGCTGCCTAGGGGCCTGAGGCTAAATGTAACCCATCTGACCCCACAGTGTGCCTCTGAGATTCTGACAGGAAAAACTTGTTTCAACTCTAAACAGAGGTTCTGCAGGAACCACTTATGTGCTTAATGGTAGAATTTTGCCATTCATCACCAATCCTCAGTGCCCTCGGGTTAGCTAATAATTGCAACTCATGAGAGAATTTTGAGTTCCTCAGATTTAATTCCTCTAAAATTCAGACTGAAATTAGGACATCATGAACTGCTGACAAAAGAAAGTCGGTCTGAGTCACTGCTCACATGTTCCTGACTCAGGTTTTTGTCACATGATTCTCATTCAACACCATTTTCATTTTAAGTAAATGAATGTGGCATTAACTTAACTGAATTTTTAGGGGTTTTTTTGTTTTTGGTTTTGTTTTTATTTTTGTTTTTTGAGATAGGGTCTGACTATGTAGTGTGGGATGACCTTAAATTCATTATGTCGCCTAGACTGGCCACAACAATCCTCCTGCCTCAGCCTCCCACGTGCTGGGATTACAGGTATTACTTGAATTTCTGATCACATGGTTCATTATTGTAAAAATTTGGTCAAGCTTTCCCAAACCAATTGAGTCAACCAATCTTAATCCAGATAGGCAATAAAAATAGTCCCTCGTTATACTTGTGGTTTGGACAAATTAAACATCATTAGATCACTAATGACAGTAAGGATACTGGTCATTGGCATCTTCCAAGTTTTATTATTTTCTTTTCTTTTTTTGGGTACCGGGACCTCATGACCTCACGCTGGCCAGGCAGGCACATAAACCGCTGAGCTAAATCCCCAGCTGTTTTATTTTTTTTTCCACAAATGATACCCCTTTCTGTGTCTTCTCTGATTGTGTGTATTTTCTCTTTAGACAGTGGCCCAAATTTGGATCCCTTATTTCATAGGTTAGAATGTTGTGACCGTCCAGGGCATGGCTGGAGGACCACCCTCAATGCTGCAAGGCCTGAGTTGCAGTTGAATCCCTCTCTCGTCAAGGTGGGGGACCTTGCACAAGCTGCTGGGCAGTGTAAAACTGTGGTCTGTCCTTCAAAAATGGATCTGATGCTACTTGCTCTGGCAGTCTTCCCGGGGCCTTCTGTGAAGTTTAATGAGCTATTACACAAAAGTTATGTAAAGTTCAGAACCACGTACTGCAAGGCAGTGGTGGGGAGCTTCTTAGAGCTTTCAGCTGATACAACAGTGGGCTGTGCCGCCCTGCTCCAAGGTGTTGTTATTGGCATTCTAGGGATCACAGGGCTTACACCCTACAGAACATCCAAATCACGATTTACTGGTAAAAATGCTCATTGCTAAACTCTGTTTCAACAGAATCTGATGTAATAGGTCCCAAGTAGATCCCAAAGATCTGCATTGTTTTTAGATGAGGTCTTACTACGTAGCCCAGGCTGGACTCAAACTTGGGATCCTCTTGGCTTGGCCTCCTGAGTAGCTGTGACTACCAGTTCATTAGCTTATTCAAGCATCTCACTTAGAGCAATGAGAAATGGCTCTAAGTGAGATGCTTGAGTAAGCTATGAACTGGTGATCTACTGAAAAACAGTACCCAGATGAATTTATTGCAGGAAGACACTTTTTCTGGAGTGTTCTTAGGGTTGGTTGAAATATGAAAGACCTTTTGCTTTCCACTATACCTTTGCTCCCTCTGATGCTATTTGGGGCCAGTGTTTCTGGTCTTCCTTCTTCTCTGACATGATTTCTAGTGGATTAATCTCCTCCTGGTGGTTCCGTTCCATTTCAAGGAGACTAACGGAGCCCGTCATTTTACTGAACTGTGTGGGCTTGCCGCAGGCATTTGAGATGCATAAGAAACAAATCTCCAACAACTGGCAACTGCTGCTCCATCCAAGAAGGGAAGTAACAGAGCTGTTGTCTCTCACCAGCCATGGAATCCAGTGCTTACAATTTTGCCACCTGGAATACATCGCACAGGCTCGCCTGGGGCTAAATTATTAAGTCACTGAAGTTGACTTTGATGTCCCCACCACTGCATCTCCTGATCATTCTCATTTTCCCTCCCTGTCACCCTGCCTCACCTCAGGAGGTGCCATGATGGTACTCCCTCCCCCCAGTTATCCTGAACTGAGGAGTTTTTCTTTTCTAGGATGACACCCTAACTGCATGGCCAAAGTGATAGGGGAGAGGGAGCCTCCAGTTAATCTAATCAACATGTTGTGCTGAATTCAATGTGTTGCTCCTCCCAGATTACTGGAAAGAAGATATTTTAAAGGCATTTTAAAGAAGATATTTTAATCCCAAAGAATCAACTTGCAGGAATACAAGCCCCTCAATAACCGAGGCCTGGAGGAAGGAGTAGCCAGTGGTCTGGAGAAAGGACTCCAGGCGCCCTCCCTAAATCAGCCATCCTGGCAGCTGAAGGATGTATCTAGGGAACACGGGAAGCTGGCCGTGTTAGTTCTCCAGCCTCTCTCCAATTCCTGCAATATAGGGGCCGTGGGTTTCACTGAATCCTCTTGCAAGAAGTCGTTGTGCTGCTCCCTACACAACCTGGGCCCCTGGGGTCTTTGGAGGGCGGTGCAAACTGTGCAGGTTCAATCCATCGACACCAAAGAGTGACTGCAGCACCTCTTCAGGTCAGCTCTGCTGAGCCCAGACTGGTCAGTGTAGTTCTGATTCCCTGCTCAGAGTGGCTGGCTCTGTCAGAACTACACTGATCCATCTTGACTGTCTCCTGGCTGCCCTGGACCTAATGTCAGAGCGCTCCTGGGAAGGACGAGTCATCATTTTCATGAGAGAGCTTTGGGGCATGGCCCTTCCTGTGCAAGTGCCCACTTGGGTTGGAAACCATCTTGGCCCACAGCAGAGGCAAGGATGAAACTGACCACACGGGTGGAACAATGACCTGGGATGAAACTGATTCCTCGAGATCACCAGAGAGTTGCTGAACCCAGCAACACTGAAGTCCACCCTACCTCTAGACTTCCAGTTATGCAAATTTATGAACAGGAGTAGGTTCCACCATAGGTAACCAAAAACACAAAATAACAGTGGCTTAAACAAATTTCAGATTTATTTTTTTAGATTTAAAGAAAAAAAATTGATCTTTTGTAAATGGGAAGAGAACTAAGAGAAGGAAGAAGGGGGAAACTAGGGAAGAGAAAAGGGACATAAAAGAATTAAGATGTATCATGTACATGTACTGACTCCCCATAATGAATGTAATCATTATGGGCTGTAGATACATGCTAATAAAAGTGCCAGGTGTGGTGTTACACACCTGTAATTCCAGTACACGGGAGACTGAGGCAGGAGGATTACTGTAAGTTCAAGGCCAAGCCTGGGTTACATGATGAGACCCTGTCTCATAAAAACAAAATACAAAAATAAAAATAAAAATTTTAGAAATATTTTTTTAAAAAGAGGATGCCAGGGACCACGTGCCTTCCATCTACCATCCTAACACTTTTACTGCTCCCAGTGGGGTTGGCTTCTCCAGCTCTAGCCACACACTGAATCCGGTCAGCAAGAAGGAGGAAAGAGAAGGGATGTGTCAGAGGCTGTACCTAATAATATGCCTGAATTTAATTACATGGCTGCACCACTTTAGAAACATTATCTTTATCCTAGGAGACCATGTGTCTGGCTAAAAACTGAGAATTCCTCTCCTGGTGGAAGGGGATAACCTGCAATCACAGCCACAGTGCATCTCCCTGTAGTTTAAGGCAGCTGAAGTTGGGTTTCCTGTTACTCACAATCAAACACACCCTATTGCTATACTCCTTGCCTGTCATCTTCAGTAACATGCTGACAGATAAAAATGAGCCCTTCACTGAGAGCATCTCAAAGTTTTTCCTTATTTTTCTCCCCAGGCTTGGTACAGCACTTGGCACATAGACACATTTGATAAACATTTGGTACATTGAACAAAATTAACCAAGAGGACTCCAACAGACAGAGTTCAATAGAATCTTGGCTTTTTGACTTGTCAGGTCTGTCCTTGGGTGAGTCACAAACCCTTCTGAGCCTCAATTTCTTTGCTTGTAAATAAGAGAGGTAATACCTACCTCAAAACATTGTTATAAGTAGCCAGGCATGGTAGTGCACGCCTGTAATTCCAGTAATCGGGAGGCTGAGGCAGGAGAATTGCTGTGAGTTCAAGTCCAGCCTGAGCTTCAAAGTGAGTTCAGGGCCAGCCTGAACTGCATAGTGAAACCCTTTCTCAAAAGAGACAAAAATAAACAAACAAAAAACCACTGTTATAAATGTCTGTGTTAGTGTGAAGTGCCTCGTACAATTCCTGGCACATACAGGATTGACGCACACCCACCCACCATGTATAAGTATTTTTAAAATAATAATTATTTGCATTAGATGTTTTAAAGGAAATCTGAAGTTGTGAAAAGAGGGAATTTGGGCAATGTTTCAAATACACACAAACTCTGCAGGCCATTATTAAATCTTATTCTTAGGAAAATATGACTGCTGAGTTCAAAGAAAAGAATACTTTGAAGAGATTTTTTGTTAAAACTCTGAAACCTTCTTAGATATCAAATAGTTACTTAGTGAGTTGTGGGTAAATGAACCAGAACATATGTATTGAGTTTATCCTGGAGCCCAATGGGTGTAAAGCCGAACTAGAAAATGTGCTTTGCATTCTCTCATTGTCCAGGGACTGGAAAAATAGCATAATGTTCTGCTAAACCGGAGATGACCTTGAATTTAGCGAACAGGCCAAATGATGAAGAACCCCAGGCCACTTTTCAGAGACTTTGCCACATTAAGAGATTTGTGACATGCTATAACCTGAGATCCTTTTCATTTGCTGTCTTCTGTAGTTGGGCTCATAAAGTAGAGGGAGAAAATGTCTGGTGTCTGTCTTTCCCCAGTCGAGGTCCAATACACACTAGTCCTCAGAGATGCATTAGGAATCAGAGTTAGCTTTTAAGCTCCAGGGTAGATAAAGATTTAGCAAAAGGAACAAAAGGAGAGGAGCAAAGGGGGTTTTAGACTGTTTGTGGAGTCCCCTGACTCGCCTTCCGGTTTGCAAACCGTGCCTCAGAGAAATGGCTGCTCTCGGGAAGGACCCTCAGTGAAGGGACAGAATCGGAACACAAGGGGACTGTCCTGCAGGGTAACAGTGATGCTCTGGTACCTGTGGTGTTTAGGGAGAAAGGAAGGGAAAACCTATTTGCAAAAACAACGTATTTCTTTTGTTTGCTTGTTTTTGCAGTACCGGGGTCCTGCAGCGCAGGCCTTTGCACCGAGCTACAACTCCAGCCCTTTTTAATTTTGATTTTGATTTTAATTTGAGACAGGGTCTGGCTAAATTGGTCGGGCTTGACTCAAACTTAAAACTCTCCTACCTCAGCATCCCAGAGTGTTAGACTACAGGTGTGTACCGCCACACCCTGCTAACGTGCTGGTTTTAAGGCGTTGGCACATGCATGGTCCCACCTGCTGCTCACACCGACAGGGCACACTCATATGTAGAGAGGGAGATGGGCTGGGAGAGGTCAAGGGACTTGTCCAAGGCGGCAAACCCACTTGTTGGAGCGCAGACTCCACAGGGCTTCTCTTTTCACTCCACACAGCTCGTGCTACAGACAAAATCATGTCGCCTCTTTTCTGAAAGAATAAAGAAATGTACATGTGTTGGTCTGCTACATTGTCTCCTCTTGCTGAGCATCTGTGGGAGGAAGAGTCTCTTTTCAGGTCAGATGAGAGCACTTCCAGGTTTCTTTCATGAGAAGACTCTCGCTCTGCCTGACAGAAGAGGCGAGGGACACTTCCTCTCGCATCCCCCTCTCCCTCCCCTGCTTGGGCCCTTGTCACCACACGCCTGGACATCACAGAGTCTCCGTGGCCTCTTCAGCTGCAAGGCTCCTGATGTGACACCACATAACCGCATAAAGCTCAGGGCTCAGATGTGACGTCAAAATGTCAGAAACATTGTCATTAACGTTGTCCTAACAGATGGGCTCAGCTCCTTGCCAAATTGTCCCTCCCTCTCGGTTGACTCAGATAGAATTTATTTCATTTTTTCAAGCAGAAAAATTGTCTTTACTCTCTTGAAATTCTAGGCTTGTTACATTTGCTATATAGTGCATCAAAACATTAAGCTTTTTCTAAGAAGTGACAGGCTCAGGGCTCTGTCCAATGCTGACTTTGCAATATTGGCCAGTGATTGATGGTTTTCGGCCTTGTGGGGAACTCGACCTTTCCTTGACCTTTAATTACATGGACTAGAATCAGTGCTGTGCTGGAAATGGTTTATATTGGCTCATGGGAGCTGATTGTTAAATTTTTTTGAATTTGGTAAACTGTTTAAAAATATCCTTTTCTAAAGGTTAAATTATATGAGCTTATAAATAAATTACATTAAAACGTGCAGTGAATATTAAAAAATATATAACTTCTCTATTCTACTTGTATTTCATATTTATTATCTTCGGATTATTTGGGCCTCTTGTATCTCTATTATGGAAGTACATAGTAGTGTGTTAGCAGGGTTCTCTTCCCAGTTCCCCATGTAGTAATATCACATCAGCAGCTTGAAATTAGCCGTAGAGGGAGAATTGGCCCCATGATAATTGGCAAGTAGAAAACACTACAAATCAGGACTTTATTTCAAAGAGCCAGTTTGTGTGCATTTACCAGGACACATGGGCTGGAACTAACTGCAGACATTGAGCTCATGGAGACCACTATTTTAGTGTTCTTGCAAAACCTGGCTTATAATACCACCCCTGAGTTAAGGAGTGACCAAATGACCTTCAGGACAAATATTAACTAGTGCAAAACAAAGGTGCATCTGGGACTCCCGCATTCTTTTAATATAGACCTTAGTGGTTGATGCCACTGTGAGACAGTGTTGACACACCCCTGCCATAATTAACAGCTGATGTAGTCTAATGAAAAAATAGAAAGAAGAAATTATTGTTTCTTCTTTCTATTTTGAACAATTATTGAGCAATTATTTGAACAATTATTGTTCAAAAAGAACAAGTGATGTTACCCAAAAATTGTTATCTAGGACAGATTGTCAATATGTGAATGGTCAGTATCAAATCCAGTCCCTTCAGTCATGGTCTTGTGGCAAATTTATCTCAGCAGACACTAGAGACACTATCCCAGAGAGAATAAACTGTCCTGCTTGCCCAGGTGAGAGGGGTGACGCTTCTCACTGGGGAAAGTGGAGGTGAATCCCGGCAAGGCTCCCCCCTGACCGCGTCCCTCCTCCACCTCTATCTACACTTTGGAGCAAGGGAAGTGGGGAGCTTTGGTCCTCTTTGTCCTCCTTCCGGAAGCCTGTGCTGCACAGGCACAGCCTGTGACAGGGTGGGAGGGACCGACACACCTGGGAAGCTCATCTGCCCACAGACAAGAGCCACATTTCCTAACCATCCTTGTGTGGTCACTGCTGAAGCAAAGGCCTTAACCTTCTGTCTGATTTTTAAATCGATTCAGAATCCAGCAGGGAAGGGGGTGGGGCTTGTTTTTAGGACCTGTTGTTGCATCAGGAGGCAAAAGAGATGTCTCCCAAGACTTACTAAGAAGTCTGTGTGGCTACAGTGAGGAGCTGTCAACACTGGCCCACAATATACTTCATATTAAAAGTGGTAATGCTACCGTGTGCAAGTGCGGCATCTCTGCTGCGTCCTGGCTTGTGCTGGCCCAGCTCCAAAACTAGTTCCTAAAGAAAATCCTGGCTTTTCCTCAGATGCCTTCCCCACACCCAGAGCCCAGCTCCAGGCAGGATGGGGAGGACTTTGATCTACACAGGGATCCTGTCCAGGCCCTTTCAAGTTTGCTAACCAAACATTACCCCTCCCACATGCTTACCGAGGTTTCAAAGCAAATGCCTCTACCCATAAGGGGGCAAATCTTGAGCCCTAGACCTGCACGGGAGAAGAGCATTTTGAATTACTTTCTCCCCAATTCTCTGAGAAGCCCAACTGAGAGCCTTTTATTAAGAGAAGATACTATAAAGTTTGCTGTTTATGGAAGGTTGTTGAAACATAACAGACGAGTGAATATCCCTGTTGCACTTCTGTGAAATGTGGCATCGCTGAGGACACAGTCAGAACGTTCCCTAGAGGCTTCTGGCTGTTGCCCTGCGAGATGAGCTTCCCGGATGTTAGTAGTAGAGAAACTTTGTCTTCCCTCCAAAAACAGTGTGCCTCTTGCTCCCCAATGATGATTTAAGTAGAATAAGCCCCTGACTTATGAACATTTGAGTTGCAAACTTTCACAGATACAAAGGGACCTACTTTGCAAACATTCAGAGATGTGAACAGATCACAGAAGTAGCTCACATGTCTGCCAGACATTGTCACAGGGGTGCTGCTGTGTGTGTACTGTACAGTATGATGGTGTACAGTGGCCCGGTGCTCAATCAGATCCCGGGTTGTCCAGAAGCAGGAGGAAATTCAGCAGTGATGTGGTGGGGACCTCTAGGAAGCACAAAACCAATACACAGTGTATGTTTGTGCCAAATGTGTATATGACTGTCTTTGTCAGACTTATGAAGGAATCCGACTTAGGACCATGCTCCCAGAATTCCTCCACACTTCATCTTAGCTAAAAGGCCAAGAAGTGATCAGAACTCCTTCTCAAGTCAAGGCTCTTGACCTTGGCTCTCTGGAGGTTGCAGCCATACCTTGACCACTGAGACCCATCACATGGCTCCATTGACCTTTACGGGCCGGACTGTCTGCTATCTGCCTTTCACCTCTTGAGCTTTTTTTCTCTTTTCTTCCTCCTTTTATTGATTTTGGCATATGTATTCCCTTTTAAATCCCTTTAAAAAGTCTTTTGGGAAGAGGTGAGATATAGCTAAAATCAAATGATTTTATGATTGCTTGTGGCCAGGGAGGAGCATGGGAGGAAAGAGGGACGTTTTGGGGATAATGGAATTTTGGTATCTTGATCATGTTGGTGGTTACCTCTCTGGGCTCATGCATTTGCAAAAATTAATTGAACAGTAAAAATGACACATCTTTCTGTAAATAAATTATGCCTCAATCAAGTTGATTTATTCATCCAACCAATACGAAACTTCTGTATTCTGCCAGAAACCTAGATTCTGGGCAGGGAAAAGTCACACAGTTGGACATGTTGGACAAGTGTACCAAGGAACAAGGAAGGGCTAACACCCAGGCCGTATCTGGTCAGCAAGCCAGTTTCCAGTAAAGAGCTGACCCTCTCAGGGGAAGAACCAGATCTTCTATTTCAGAAATGACATTAAATGGATTCTACAGATCCAATAAAGAAAACTATGGGCAAATTACCTGCCCTTACAGAGTCTGTCAGCTCAAGGGAAAGAGAGATTATAAACTGGTCAACACTAAAGACAGCTATGTGTTGCGAAAGGCACTGCATAGGAATAAACAGGATGATGTAATGGGGAGTGTTGGGCTGCAGGAGATGGCTATCTCGATTAGAAGTCACGGCAGACGTCTAAAGAGACTTTTCAGCTGTGGCCCCAGCGAAGCGGTGGAACCGAGTTTGCGAAGTGTAGAAGGAAAATATCGCGGCCGGGGGAAGAGCAAGGCGGGCGCTCCAGGGGGCGGGGCTCGCGGACTGGGCGCGCATGCGTAGGAGAGCTAAAGGGCTGGGCTGGCAGAGGGCCGAGAGGGCTACTCCTTGCTAGTTGGGCAGAAGCCTGAGAAATGGCCCAGATACCAACCGCACCTAAATACGTTGTTTCTCGTAGCTTTTAGAGATGTAGGAAGCCTTAGAGATACATCAGTCCTTCAGTCTTCTGCAACAAGTGTTAAAAAACAAATTCCAGGGTGAGAACTCGGGCCTGCTTCAGTTCTGCTGAGCTGACTTTTACTGATTGCTCCATGTGGCAGGCAGTTTTCTTCCCATTTCTCCAGAGCAAGGTTCAAAGCCAACAGCCGCTGAGTCTGTGAGATCTTGCGGCTGGGACCTCTGACCATGAGAAACGACTTCTTTACATCCATCCCTAT